ACCCTCGGACAGCCAGCACCAGCTCACAGGGCACTGATGGCCGGGAGGGGACACACTCATAGCGTCCCCACCACACCGGGACCTGGGAGGCCTGAGGTAGCTGCCAAGTGCAGCACGTTCTTTGTCTCATGGAATATTGAGAATGATCCTGAGAAGGAACTGCCCCATCACAGAAACTTAAAACTTGTCCAAAGCGCAACCCCAGCTGCCCTTGACCTGAGGCAGTCCTGGGCCCCTTCCCCCTTCCAGGGCCTGCTGGATGTTCTCTTGGACCTGTGCCCAGACTCGACGGCGTCTGAGGCTCTGAGTCTCTCAGAAGCCAAGGAGACATGAGTGGTCCAGCTGGAGGCCCCATCCCAAGGCTCCCTTCCAGGTCCCACAGGCCAAGGACCCACATCCTTCCTGGCTCTGAGCTACGTGCAGGGCTGCGGGTGGGACAGCAGGAGAGTGGAATGTAATCTGTTCTGTATGACAAGCAGCAACTGCAGTGTTGACCCCCACCTCCGCCATCACCTCCACTGCCAACGCGTTCACAGTACCGGACACCCCAGAAGACTCCTCAGGCTCCCCACCTGTGACCAGCCAGCACTCCGATGGCAGGTAAGTCAGCTTGGATGCTGCCTGTTCCTTCTGGCCCACTGGTCCCAGACTTCTCTCACACAGACATGGGGCGTCCCCTGCAGAGCTCAGAGTGTGGGAGATGGATGAGCAGGCATTCAGGGCAGAGGGCATGGCCGTGATGTGTGAGCACGGGCGTCATGGGGACCACAAGGCCCCTTGGTCCAAATTCTGGAAGAACAGGAAGGGCCTGGGGAAGTCCTGTTTCCCCAGTTACTGTTATGGCAACAGCAGTGATCCTGATAGAGCCCCTGGCAGCTCACAGAGGACTTTCCTGCCTGTTACTCTGTTCATGTGTTGACCCTGCCGATGACCACCTCAGGAGGAGGAACAGGAAGTAGATATGCACGTTCCCATTTTACAGAGGAAGAAACTGAGCCGGGCTCATGTTTCCCAGCTCTGCAACCACAGGAGCTCTCTGGAAGCTGAGAGGCCTCTTTCGTTTCTTCTCTTCACCCTCCTTGGGCCTCTTCGCTTTGCCCTTAGATCTGCTGTATCTCCTGCTGGGCCTTCCCGCAGAGCCTCGATGGGACATCCCGTCTTTCCAACCCAGGGACGCCTTTGCCCTCTCCCACTTGCTCTCCGTTTTGAGAATTGCTTTCTACCGAACTACTTATTCACTTTAAAAAATATGTTCTTATTGATTTTAGAGAGAGAGGAAGC